TTCACATGTATAGTGCATGCTCTTTGTCCTGATACCAAAGGACAGTCAGATTATTGGCCTTTTCCAAGAACTACTACTCAAAAAAAGTATTATTATTTTTGTTTTTCATTAACTTCAGAGCTATCTTTCTTATTTCCTCATTTCTTCTGTCTTTAGCTTTACCCTGTTTTTCTTTTTCTTAAACTCTTAATTGGAATATTACCTCACCAAGTTCAAGCTTTTCTTCTTTTCAAGTATAAGAATGTTAAATCCATTAGCATTTCTCTAAGTAATGGTTTACTGTGTTTTGTACTTTTCGGTACCTACTAATTTTATTATCACTGTTTCAAAGCATTTTCTGATTTTTTAAAGGATTTCTTTTATGACCTAAGTTATTTAATAGCATATTTAAAATGTTTCAAATGTGTGAGTCATTAAAGTTAGTTTTCATAATGGATTTCTAGCTTAAATGTAGTCAGAAAAGCTATATCTAGCTGTTATGGTAATGATGTTTTGGAATTTACAGATGCTAGTTTTGCGGCTCATTAAATAAGCAATTTTTTCTCTGCGTACTTGAAAAGTACATATACTTTCAATTTTGAGAGTGCACTTTTTCTGTAGAACATGGCTGTTAATTGTGATATTTAAATCTTATACATCCTCCAAGTTTTTGGTTTTATTGATCTATATCAATTACTGAGAAAGTTATATTAAAATCTGCTATAGTAGTGAATTTGTCAATTTTACCATATAATTTTGTCCTTTTGCTTTAGATATTCAAAAGACACATTATTGGATGAAGTTTAGAATTTTACTTGTTAGTGGTGAATTCGGCTTCTTATCATTATACACAGATTTTCTAATACTTCAATTCAAGTCATGTAACCTAATTGTGATGCAGTTGTTTATCTAGAATTTAATTTTAATTTTTTCTTGAAGCTCGAGGGCAATTTTTGTTTAAATTTGGCACCTTCTTTGATAGCTGTGTTTTCTTGCATCTTGGGCCTTCCTTCTGAAATTATTTCATGTGTTTCTAAAGTATATTCACTCACTATTTTTTGTTTGTTTTTGTCACAATGTAATCTCTATTTCATCTTCATTTTTATTGTTGTTTGCTCAAAATGTCTGTATATTCCTCTCATTCCTGAATGATAGTTTGGGGAGGACCTAACATTCTGGTTGGCATCTATTTTCTCTTCTTTGAAGTATACATTCAGCTGTCTTCTGGCTTCTATTTTTGCTTTTGAGAATTCAGCTGTTTTGTTGTTCCTTCATAAAACATGTCTTTTCTCTCAGACTGCTTTTAAAGTCTTCACTTTCTCTTTATTGATCTTCAGTGCCACTGTAGTTCCTATATTATGTCTAGGTGTATATTTCTCTTTAGCAGTCCTGTTGAAAATCCACTGGACTTTCTGAGGCTCAGAATTGGTGTCTTTATCAGTTCTGAAAAATTCTCAGCTATTACTACTTTGAATATTGCCTTTCATCCGTTTTCCCAGTTCCCCTCACAGGAACTTTGAATAGACATATAGTGACTTTTTAACTTTATCCTCAATATCTCTTAACTTCTATTTCATATTTTCATTTCTTTATGACTTTGTGGTACATTTTGGGTGAGTTTTTAAACTCAATATTTTCTTATATAAATTCTCTCTTCACCCAGTGGCCAAGAGTTTCCTTCTTTTTTGCTTTTGTTTTTATTTTGAGACAGAGTCTCCCTCTGTCACCCAGGCTGGGATACAGTGGCATGATCTCGGCTCACTACAGCCTCTGCCTCCTGCATTCAAGTGATTCTCCTGCCTCAACCTCCCAGGTAGCTGGAATTCCCACCATCATGCCAGGCTAATTTTTATATTTTTAGTAGAGACCAGGTTTTGGCATGTTGCCCATGCTCATCTCAAATTCCTGACCTCAAGCCATCTGCCCACCTCAGCCTCCCACAGTGCTGGAATTACAGGTGTAAGCCACCACACCCAGCCCGTAGAGTTTGCTTTTAATCCATCTATTGAATTATTCATTTTCATAATGGTAAAAATTCTATTTAGAAATTTTGAAAACTCACTCTGGTTATTTTTGATAATCTCTTATATCAAAGAGAGATTCTGTATTATACATTTATCTGTTTTTTTCTTTAAGCCTATTTTTAAAATATATTTCTTATTTGATAATACCAATATTTGTATCCTTAGGATAGAAAAATTTCCTCCTACTAATTCAGTTTGTCTCTCTTTCTCTGATGATAGCTATTTGGCTCATGTGAAAATGTTATGAAGTTGATGTATAAAACCCAGTGTGGGGTAAAATTATTTAGTGTTTGACTTACAGAATTTGTTGACCAGAAAGGTGGTACTAGTTAAGTTATTTCCCAATCTCAATTAAAGGTACACTCATATTTGGGAAATTTCAGGGGAAAATTCTTTGTAGTTTTACACAGATTCATGGCCAAACTAGAAAGATATTCTACTGTGTCCTGCTTTTTTCTTTCTTTCGTTTAACCTTTCTAATTCAACCACACAGTACATTGCCTTTCAGGATCTCAGGTTCTGTCTGGTTGTTTCTGTTTTTATCTTTCTTTTTTGAGTGCTCCATAAGCAGTAATTGTGATTTTTCTCTGTGTCTGTGGCTCATTAAAGGCCAAAATGCTACATCACCATAAGTGTTTTCTTACCTCTTTAGATGCCTCCAAAAGCTTCTATTTTCCTGCCAACTCATCCATGCATTTAAAAATTATTTTTAAAATATTTTATCCAATGAGCACACCTAATGGCCAGATTGTGGTTTCTAAATACTATTTTTGAGAAAAGGCTGCTGTAGGACTGGCTCATGGAGAGTACATAGTGAACCTGATACATCCTGATATATGCCAGAAAACAAGCAAGCTCTGCATGAATAGAGATATGCACAAAAACCCAGAACCAGTTTTTGAATAATTTGAGCATCAAAAAGGGTATTGAATATAACTGACTATAATCATTAAATACATAAAAATCTATGTTACCTCCATGATATCAGACGAGAGACATGCTTCAATGAGGAGATTATTACACTAACTCTTTATCTTTAAAATTAGTAATTAATGGAAAAATCATTTAGTATAATTAGGAAATGTATTTCAGATCATGGTAATGAGATAAAGCTCTTTAAAAACAACCAAACAAACAAATACCAGAAATTTACTAATGCCAGTTTAGAGAAGAGCGGGAATGAGAGAATTAGAAAATGATTATTTTGTAACCCTGAGTAAAATATTTCAGAAACGGACTTAGAGGATAAAGTCATTAAAGAAAATATTTTGAAGAAACAGGAAAGCAAAGCATTGCAACAAAATCACTCACTACTTGCAAAAAGAAGAGGGAAAAATATCTACCTTTAAAATGGAAAGATCTGGCACTTACCATCTTGACTATGGGATGAAAAGCAATCTAACAGTGGACTGCTTGACTGTGACCCATCACATGAGGTCAGGTGTAAAATTTTCCACTTTTGGTGTCGTATCAGTACTCAAACAGTTTTTTATTTTGGAGCATTTTAGATTTCAGATGCTTAATCTATATGGTAATTTTTAAAATATGATGATGTTTGCATTAGTCAGAATTTTTCCAGAGAAACATAACCAGTAGGATGTGTAGATACATAGAGAGACAGATAGATGATAGATGGAAAGATAGATATGCATCTATATATATGTATCTCTCTCTATGTATATATATATATATAGATAGATGTGTATATAAATATATACACACATACACACACATACAGAGAGAGATTTATTGTAGGGACTTGGCTTTTATATTTATTGTATTAGTCCATTTTCACACTGTTGACAAAAACATACTTGAGACTCAGCAATTTACGAAAGAAAGAGGTTTAAACTTTTCCAGGTGAACTGTTTAAGCTGTCAGTGGATCTACCATTCTGGGGTCTGGAGAATGGTGGCCCTCTTCTCAGAGCTCCACTAAGTGATTCCCCAGTAGGGACTCTGTGTGAAGGCTCCAGCCCCACATTTCCCTTCTGTGCTGCCTTGGCAGAGGTTCTCCATGAGCACCCCACCCCTGCAGTAAACTTCTGCCTGGGCATCCGGGTGTTTCCATACATCTTCTGAAATCTAGGTGGAGGTTCCCAAACCTCAATGGTTGACTTTTGTGCACCCGCAGTCTCAACACCACGTGGAGACTGCCAAGGCTTGGGGCTTCCACCTTCTGAAGCCATGGCTCGAGCCATATGTTGGCTTCTTTCAGCCATGGCTCGAGTAGCTGGAACACAGGGCACCAAGTCCCTAGGTGGCACACAGCATGGGGACCCTGGGCCTGGCCACTTTTTTCTCCTAGGCATCTGGGCCTGTGATGAGAGGGGCTGTCATACAGGTCTCTGTCATGGCCTGGAGACGTTTTTCCCAGGGTCAAAGGGATTAACATTAGGCTCCTTGCAACTTAGGCAGATTTCTGCAGTTGCCTTGAATTTCTCCTCAAATAAAAATGTTCATTTTTTTTTTCTACTGCATTATCAGGCTGCAAATTTTTTAAACTTTTGTTCTCAGTTTCCCTTTTAAAATGGAATGCTTTTAACAGTACCCAAGTCACCTCTTGAATGCTTTTCTGCTTAGAAATTTCTTCCACCAGATATCCTAAATCATTCTCAAGTTAAAAGTTCCACAAATCTCTCGGGCAGGGGCAAAATGCTGCCAATCTCTTTGCTAAAACATAACAAGAGTCACCTTTGCTCCAGTTCCCAACAAGTGCCAATTTTTGCAAATATAAAATCATTTCAAAATAAAGAGGTTAAAATTTAACATTTAATATAAAGTTTTTTGATTTAAAAACACTTTATCAATTGAAATAAAACTTTCCCTTCTAATCCAATAAGACTCAAAACTTGTAAATCTTTCATTCTGTCTTCACAGATTCAAATTTTTGTATGATTTTAGGAGCTCATTTTGTGACTCTTTGAGAGAATCTCCAGAGTAATAAACTCATTAAAAATGACTAATTGAGTAACACCTTTTTTCTTTTTTACAACAGGTACAAAGCTAATAGACAATTTAAATTTCAAATTATAACTGGAATAGATAATTGCAGTTAACATTTACTGCTGATCAGTGGTTTTCAAATTCAAGATGGCGTCAGAACCACCTGGAGGATTGGTTAAAAATGAAGACTCCTTGGTGCCAATCTGCTGGGTTCCTAATTCAGTAGGTCTGGTGGGGGACTATGTATTTGCACTTCTAAAAATTTTCTAGGTGAGACTGACAGGGCTAGTCCTGGGGACTACACATTGACAAACGTTGGTCTCAATATTAATTTGAAATTGTAAGATTAATGTATCTCTACAACTCTATTGTTTCCAGTGTATATATAAATATAAAGATGAATAAAAAGACTCATTCTAACTCAGTTTTGACCCAATTGCTAATCTAGAGTATAAACTTTGCAAAACTTTAAACAATTTTCATTATAATGTTGAAGCATCTTTTATTGACTCAGGACCCCAAAATCTAAAACTTTGTTGTGACTTGATTTTAGATCTGATATATAAGATACTTAGGAATCATCGCTCCTGTAATTACATCAAGACAAAACTGGAAAAAACCTGAAAATCAATGACTTTTTCTGGGACCAATCAGAGAATTGAAGTTGCATGGCAAATCACTATCCTGAAATCTGGAGGGAAAGACATATTCAACCAGATGCAGCTAATATGGGCTAACTAGAACAGAAGTCACTGGAATCCTACACTGATCAAAACACTTAAATATTCATTTTCATGAATTTGTGGAAACTGAATGTGGACTAGTTTGAGAGAGAAGTCCATGGGGTCTCAGTCTGAGGTGGTTTCCCACACTGTCCTGGTTGTTTTCTCTAAGAGTCTCACTAAGTTCTCAGGATGAAGATCCAACAAAGATATGCTCAAAGCTCTGGCAGAAGCTGGGAAAGAGTAATCACTGCAAAATATGGCCAAAGCCTTCCTCAAAACAAAGATTTACCTCTGGAGGAAAAGACCTAGACAGAGCCTTATTGCAGGCTCCCCGGAGGAGGGGTTGCTGTCTGATTTCAGCGCCCTCTAACCTCTCTGTTTAACCTATGGGGCAGGGTTGGGGAATAGTTAGTAGTGGTTCAGGGTTTCAGGGAAGGGAATATGTGGCAGGAGGAAATATAAAGCTATATCACTGGAAAACACTTTCAATGGTCACAGCCTTAAAATACATGCTGAGAAAAAATGAGATTTTTTCTCATATAATTCCAATAGGGATTATACAAGGAAGTGGGTGAGGGGGCTTTCTATAATTTTAAATGACCAATATAATATCAGTGATCATAGCTAAGAGAGCTGAAAACACAGACCTTCTCTGAGACATAGTACTTAAAGAAGACCAAAATCAAGAGGTGAGACAAAAACAAGGACACTGAAGAATTATGAAGTCTCTGCCATTCATAACTATAGCAAATATTAAATATAGCCTCACTTCCACCCAGATGAGCATAACTCCTGACTCACACTAAAGCTGATTTATGTGAGTTCCTATTGCCTGATACATGTCCAGTTTTCAACAAAAAATTGCAAGGCATGATAAAGGGCAATAAAAATGTAGTATGAGGGGTCAGAGCAACTACTGGAACAGACTTAGATATGACAAAAATGTTGAAATTGTCAGACAGAAAATTTAATATAGTTATGATGATTATGTTAAGTGCTCTAATTCAAAAAATAGAAAACGTGCAAAAAGACAGATATAGGCAGGGAGATAGAAACTCTGTGAAACAAAAAGAAGTATTAGAAATAAAAAATAATGTACCAAAAATAAGTAAGGTTTTTAATGGGTTATCAGTAGAATGATCATATTGAGGAAAGAATAAGTAAACTTGAAAATATGTCAATAAAATCTTCCCAAACTGAAATGCAAAAAAGAAAATTAAAAAAAAAACACAGAAAAGAGAAGAAAAAGGGAAAAAAGAAGTAATGATAAAAATATAACAGAGCATCCAAGGACTGTAGGACAAATTGCAAAGGTATAAGATACCCATTATTAGAATACCAGAAAGAGAAGAAAAAAATAATGTATCAAAAGAAATATTTGAAGTAACAAGGCCCTGAATTTTTCAAACTAATGAGAGACAAACTAACAATTCAGGTAGCAGGAAGCTCAGGGAACTCTAACAGGATAAACACAAGAAACAAACAAAAACAACCCTCACACACCTGTTATATCATATTTAAACTGTAGAAAACCAAAGACAAAGACAATATCTTGAAAAAAGCCAGGGGATGAAAACACATCTATTGACACAATAACACAGATAGAAATTATAACAAACATCTTGCCAGAAATCAAGCGAGCAAGAATAATGTGAAAGAAAAATGTTTCAATGTTGAAGGAAAACAATCTACACACTTAAATTCTATGTAAAAAAAAAGTCAGTTAAAACAAAAGAGAAATACTTTCTCAGATAAAAACTGAGGTCATTCAACACCACTAGAACTTCTTTTCACGAAATATTAATATAAATTTTTTATAGAGAAAGAAAATGATATAAGTCAAACACTCAGGGCAGTATAAGGAAAGAAAGAATGTTAGATAAGGAATAAAAGAAGGTAAAATAATATTTTCTTTGGCTTATTCTTAGCTGTTCTAAAAGATAACCATTGTTCAAATCAATAGTAATTACAGTGTATTGAGGTATTATAGCATATGGCTACATTAAATGAATGACAGCTATTGTAACCAAGGACCTGAGTTTTTAAAATATGTTTTAATCATCTCTTTTCTTTTTCTTTCTTCCCTCCCCTCATACCCCTCTCATTTCTTCCCTCTTAAGACACTCCCTTCTGGAAATCCATGCTTATCTAATTAAATTCTTGCCTTAGAAATTTCAGTGGCTAATCTTGGAACAAACCAGGCATGGAGCTCCAACTGCAGAAGCTTCCTGCTTAGGGGAATCATCAGGCTGAACTCAAGATAATGCCAACCAGACTTCTGGATGGGCAACTACCACAGACAGCCATCAGAACGAAGACACACAGACCCTACAACCTGTACCACTCCTGTGTCTCCTGTACCAAATTTCCCTTTAAAACCCTTATGGTACATTTAAAGATTTAAAATGTTACTTTAGAATGTTTGTCTTCTTGGCTTACTGGCTTTCTGATAAAAACTTGCTTTTCCTTGCTGCAACCCTCACTTCTCATGTCTTTCTGTGAAGCAGTGAGCAATCCAACCTAGGTTCAGTTAAAAATTCAGTGCCCAAATGTGGGGCTGCATTTTGGGTGGTCTATGATGCCTGGTTTCCAAAGGATGGAGCAATTGTCTACAGCAGTGTGCCAGGGCTTACCCATTTATGCTACCAGGCAGAGCAACAGATGCTCATGAGTGCCAGCTACTCATGGTTAGGTGACTTCATGGCTGGAGCTCCAGAGACGTCTCAGCAGCTGCCAAGAATGCTTTTGTGTTGGGAATTCTACCATCTTTCACTTTTCTGGCATCAGCTGCCTGAAATGCTGTGTTAGAGTTAGGAAAAGTGGTGTCTGAGAGGTTAACATGCTGGTAAGTCACTATGTTGTGTTCAGTCAGGAACTACCCACCTTCCCATTTGGACTTTTCCTTGGAATAAGCTACTTTGTTTTTGTTTGTTTGTTTTTGGTTGGAGTACCCTTTTGGAGTACTACCATGTCATGTGTGGTAGAGAAATCTATATATTTTATAACAGAATATTTCCAATTCTTCTGTCTCATCCTTTGTGACATGTAAGCACTAGGGTCACTTAATTTTTTTAAGGATTATAATTGGTAGATTAAAAGAGAAGATAAAATGAAATCATATAAAACTCAATTAAACTAAAGAAGATTAGAAAAAGGAGACAAACAAATTGCAATAAAGAGTAAAAAAAGTAGATACAAATCAAACAATGTTATTAATCACTTTTAATGTAAATCTCCAAAAATGTCAAACAAAAGGTAGAAATTATCAAAGTGAATAACAAAACAAGACCAGACTTGATGCCATGTGCAATAAACCCACTTTTAATGTAAAGGCTCAGATAGGTTAACAGTAAAAGAGTGACGAAAGACATACCATATTAACACTAATAATAAGAAAGCTGAAATATCAGTATTAATTTTAGAAAAAGCAGATTTCATAACAAAAAATTATAATGGATAAAGAGCATTAATTAGGGGGTTAATTCCTCCCAAAAATATAACAATCCCTAATGTGTATGTAATTGATGACAGTCTTTAAATACAAGTCTGCAAAACACTATCAATCATCAGGATCTAATTGACATTTATAAAACAATATATATGATGATAGCAATATAGACAGTCATCTCAATCTTACAAGGAACATTTACCTAGACATACTACATTGTGCAACATAAAATAGACTTTCCAAACTTAAAAGTAAAGAAATTATACAAAGTATGTCTTCAGAGCACATGAAATTAAGTTAGAAAGCAATAACAGAAATAGAGCTAAAAATTATCTCCAAATTTTGGAGATTGAAAGAAAAAACCTCTAAACAACACTTGGTAAAAGAAATCTTCACAGAAATTTGAAGACATTTTGAGCTAAACAATAATGAAAATACATTTTACCAAACATTGCGAGATGCAGCAAAAACTGTCCTGAGAGAAAAATTTATAGTATTAAATTCATGTATTAGAAAAGGGGATTTAAAAGAAGTAACCTGATCTTCCACCATAGGAAACTCAGAAAGAAGATCAAATTAAGCCTAAAACAAGAAAAAAGGATATAATACAAAATTAGAGCAGAAATTGATGAAATTGTAAATAAGAGTAACAGTAGAGAAAAATCAGGAAAACCCAAAGCTGGTTATTTGAAAAGAACAATAAAAGAAAAAACTTGTAGATAGACTAACCATAGAAAAAGAGAAGACACAAAGTGCTTAATGTGGAAATGAAAGTTCATTATCATATATTCCAAGGACATTAGAATGATGACAATGAAATAGTATAAAAAATCATATGCTCACACAGTTGATAATGTAGTTAAAATGGACCAGTTCCTTGAAAGACAAAAACTACCAAACCTAACACAGGAAAGATCAATAAGCTGAATAGACTTGTATCTATTAAATAATTTTAATTGAGGCACAGTGAACAGTGGACTACCTCCTGCTCTGAGTGGTCACTGCCGCCAACATGAATGTGCACAGAGGGCACATATAGTCCTCTACCAATCAGTGCTCTGCCTTCATGCTAACACCACTACTGGCACAAATGTATGCACAGTCTTTGGTATGGGCCCCTTGCACCTCTGATCCATGCTGCCACCGTCATTGCTGCAAACACCCACATGGAGGCTGACACCCTGGACTCACTACCACCCTGCCACAGCTGACAAGTGTGCACCCCTCCATACTGCTGCTGCTGCTGGCAGGTGTGAATAAGGATAAATCCCGCTTCCACTGCCCTATGACATGCTTTGGTGGGGACCACTCAACAGATTGTTGTGACCAGCAGTCCAGAAACAGTTTGCTCCCTTCACTGCAGAATGTTCCCATACTTGAGGAGCCTAAGAAAAAAGATAGGGTGGGTCCAAGACAAATTCCCCAGAGTTTAAGCATGTAGTCTAGGAGCCCTGAGATGAGCTGTGGCCCCCTAAAATGATCCGGAAATGAAGCCAGTTAACTGAACCCAACTTATACCACAATCAAACCCACAAGGTCATCAAATATGATAAAAGAAAAAAAAAACACATCCAAAGAACAGCAACTTCAATGATTGAAGGAGCCTCATCACACAAGATGAGGGGGAAAAAAAACTAGGGCAAGAACTCTAATAACTCAACAAGCTACAGTGTCTTTATTTCCTCTAAACAACCACACTAATCCTCAAGCAAGAGTTCTTAACTGGGCTGAGAAAGCTGAAATTAGAGAAATATAATTTATCACATCAATAGGAAAAAAGATAATCAAGATTCAGGAAAACATTAAAACCCAATCTAAGAAAGGTAAGAATTATAATAAAATAATATTGGACATAACATAGCCAGTATAGAAAAGAATGTAAGTAATGTGATAGAGCTGAAGAACACACTACAAAAATTTCACAATACAATTGCAAGTATTAATAACAGAATAGATCATGCTGGGAATAGAATCTCAGAACTTGAATACTGGCTTTCTGAAATAAGACAGACAAGAATAAAGAGAAAATAACAAAAAGAGCAAACAAAATATCCAAAAAATATGGGATTGTGTAAAGAGACTGAATCTACCACTCAGTGGCATCCCTGAAAGAGATAGGAAAAATGGAAGCAACTTGGAAAACATATTTTAAAATATTTTTCATGAGAACTTCCCCAACATTGCTAGAGAGGACAAAATTCAAGTTCAGGAAATGCAGAGAAACCCAGTAAAATATTCTGCAAGATTATCCTCAAGACACACAATCATCAGACTCTCCAAGGTTGAAATGAAAGAAAAGATGTTAAAGAAAGCTGGACAGAAAAGACAGGTCACCTACAAAGAGTAGCCCATAAGACTAGCAGCAGACCACTCAAAAAAAAGTCCTACAAGACAGAAGATATTGGAGATCCATATTTAACATTCTTAAAGAAAAGAAATTCCAATCAAGAATTTTATATACCTCTAAACTAAGCTTCAGAAATGAAGGAGAAATAAGGTCCTTTTCAGACAAGCAAATGCTCAGGAAATTTGTTACCACCAGACCTGCCTTACAAGAGCTCCTGAAAGAAGGACTAAATGTGAAAAGGAATGACCATCACCAGGCAATATAAAAACATATTTAGGTACATAGACCAGTGACACTATAAAACAATCAAACAAATCACCATAATAAAAAGCTAATAATAATGATGACAGTATCAAATCCTCTCATATCAATACTAACATTGAATGTAATCAGGCTAAATGCTCCAATTAAAAGGCACAGAGTGGCAAACTCGACAAAAAACTAACACCCATTGGTATTCTGTCTCCAAGAGACCCATCTCACATGCAATGACACCTATAGGCTCAAAATAAAAGGATAAAGAAAAATCTATCAATAAAATGGAATAGAGAAAAAAGCAGGAGCTGTAATCTTAATTTTAGACAAAATAGACTTTAAACCACAAAGATAAAAACAGACAACAAAGGGCATTACATAACGATAAAGGGTTCAATCAATATGAAGAACTAACTATCTTGAATATATAGGTACCTAACACAGAGCACCCAGATTCATAAAGCAAGTTCTTAACGACCTACAAAGGGACCTAGACTTCCATACAATAATAGTGAGAGACTTCAACACCCTAGAGTCAGTGCTAGACAGACCACCAATGCAGAAAATTAACAAAGGTGTCCAGAACCTGAACTCAACACTAGATCAAATGGACCTGATAAATATCTACAGAACTTCTCATTGCCACATGGCATATACTCGAAACTTGACCTAACAATTGAACATAAAATAATTCTTAGCAAATGCAAAAGAACTGAAATCATACCAACCAGTCTAGAACCACATCACGATAAAAACAGAATTTAAGACTAAGAAAATTGCTCAATACCATACAATTACATAAAAAGTTTAAACATCCACTCTGGAATGACTTCTGGGAAAATAATAAAATTAAGTCAGAAATTAAGAAATTATTTGAAACTAAACAGAACAAAGATACAACATATCAGAATCTTTGGGATACAGCTGAGGTAGTGTTAAGAGGGAAATTTATAGCACCAAATCCTGACATCAAAAAATTAGAAAGCTCTCAAGTTAACAACCTAACATCACAACTAAAAGAGCTAGAGAAGCAAGATATAACCAACTCCAAAGCTTGCAGAAGACAAGAAATAACCAAAAATCAGAGCTAAACAGAAGGACAAATTGAGACATGAAAAACCATTTTAAAAAATCAATGAATCCAGAAGATTTTCTTTTAATTAATAAGATAAGCCTAATGAACTAATGAACAAGAAAAGAGAATATCCACATAAACCTAATTAGAAAAAACAAAGGGTATACTATCACTGACCCCACAGAAATACAAATAACCATTAGAGACTACTACGAATACCTCTTTGCAAACAACTAGAAAATGTAGAAGAAATTGATGAATTTCTGGACACATACAACCTCCCAAGACTGAACTAGGAAGAAATTGAATTCCTGAACAATCAAAATAAGCTCTGAAATT